CTCTATTCATCTCACCCATCATTTTTTACAGTTCACTAATATTCACTCTACCTCAGCCACACATAGAGATGATAGAGAAGACACTGGATCTCACCACAATTTTTTTCAATTAACAAGCATCCTTTCTACCTCCTCCAGACCAGTTGAAGAATAAAAAAAAATAAGCAAAGTCCCTGCAACAAGAATGCATCAAAGCAAAAATACTTTCCCACATTGGCCATAGACAAGAACATGTTTTTCCCTCTGCATATGTAATATGTAATCTATGTCTCTGTCAGGAGACGTCACATACTAAAATTTATCAGTCCTCTGGAATCATGGTTGACCACTCCATTGGGTAGAGTTTTTAAGTCTTTCAAACTTGCTTGTTTTGACAATGAATTTGTTGTAGTATAAATTGTTCTCTTGGTACTGCTCACTTCACTGTATAAATTCAAAGTGAGGTTCAAGTGACTCCTACTCCCTCAACTGCTTACTCCTTTGTATAGACTTTTACTCGTGCCTTTTGATTATGTGAGATATTAAGTCCTCACCATTCTTTTTCTTCCTTGGCATATCCTTTTCCTCTTCCTTTTCCTTTCTCCTTTTAAGATAATCAAAACATGACAACAATCACTCTCAAGTTCTAAGTCTGACTTGATGCTATGTCCCTTGCTGACATCATGGTTCTTAGGAGATATTTGTATCTTGTCCTTATAGAACCTTTTCTGATTTCCTCACTTCATGCTAGATGGCAATAATTTGCAGTGAACCTACTCGTTAGGGATTCATGATTTTCTGCAGGAATGTTTGGTATCTTAGCAGTAGAAAAAACTGATAGTTGAGGTTATTCCGGGTTGAGATTTGCAAAGTAGATGGCAGAAGATCAAGATGGGGCACAGAGTCCTAGATTGTTAAGGACATTATTGGATCATGGAATCTAGGCTTGATAGGGAGACAAGTGGTAGTGGAAGGGAGGGAAATAGGAATTAGGAGGAGCTGGGGGACTGGATGTCATGGTGAAATGTGGGTTCTGGAGGAGTAAAGGAGTGGGATAAGTGGAAGATAAGGAGATTTTAGGCAGAGAAGGGAGTTTGAGAACTCTTGCAGGTATAAGAATGGTAACAAGGTCCCAGGTGTAGCTGAAGTGAAGTGGATATGTAATTATATTGTGTATCAATTTTATGATAGCTAATAAAGACATGCCATGAATGATCCCTGAGCGATAATAATTCTTTGTGACAATTGTTAGCAGGGAAGGGGAAAGAGGAGCAGAGGGAAGAGAATAGCACCTACTGTGTGCCAAGCACTTTTTGACGAAAATTATTACCTTATTTGACCCTTACAACAACCTCGCACGGTAGGTGCTATTACTATTCCAGTTTTATACATGAAGAAATTGAGGTTCTGTAACTTGCCCAGGGTCACACAGCTAGTAAGTTTCTGAGGTTGGATTTAAATTCACATCCCCCTTGACCCCAGGCCAGTGCTTTATACACTGTACCACCAGCTGTCTCTGACCTCTGACATGTACTCGCTATGTGAATTTGAGCAAATGACTTAAACTCTTAGTGGCCTAGGCAACTTTCTAAGACTATAAGTTTTATAACATTCTCAGATCTGTGTTGGTAGAGATTTTTGTCAAACAGGAATTCCCATTATCAATAAAATCACAGGTAGAGATAAAGAAAAACAAAAGAAGTCTTTGCATTCCTATTTGTCTTAAGGCCCAATATTCTATTTATGAAATGATTAAATAAAAATTAAGAAATTATAAATGACAGAAGAAAAATTTTAATTGTAACTTTCCAATGACTTCCTAGACAGCTATTTCAATATTAAATTATATCTTACAGGTTCCTTCATAACTCAGAAGAACATAACATAATTAGCAATGCAAATTAATATATTTAATAAGGTCCTCAGGCTCACCCAGGGTTTAAAAAAATTAGGCTGGGAGTAAAAGATGGTGAGGATGATGGAAAGCTAGAATTAGAACAAAAAGAAGATGGAGCCCAAAGGACAGGTACTCTCTTCTTCAGGTCTTTGTTTTTAGGATCCTCAGATATATTGTCTCTATGGCCTAGAATTTGTGAGAATGGCTGATAAAAAGCTTTTGTAAGTGGATAATCCTTTGCAGAGTTGCTGTCTTTAGTTACTAGGCCACCTTGACTTTTGTCTTGCCACCGGACTCAGATGACTCTGGAGGAGAGAGTGAAGCTGATGACTTTGCTCAGCTCTGCCTTACTTCAATCCGATTCACCCACAAGTCAAGACATCACCCTCATGATGTCATTGGTTCTCTACAATAGTCAAGGTTGAACAACAACAATAACTACCATCTTTAATCACTATAGCTAAGTTCCTCTTCTGGTCCCTCTTAGTTAATTTTTGTGTCCGGCCTTTGGAACTTACTTACTTTCCCAATAATTAACAATAAGCTACTTGAGGGCACATAAAAAGTCATATGCAACTTTGTACACAGTGCCTAGCACAGTGCCTTACATGCAATGGGAGCTCAGTAAATCCTTATTGTTGTTTAGTCATATTACGGTCCTGTCTGACTCTTCATGACCCCTTTTTGAGGTCTTCTTGGCAAAGTTACTGGAGTGGTTTGCCATTTCCTTCTCCAGTTCATTTTACAGATGAACAAACTGAGGCAAACAGAGTTAAGTGACTTGCCCAGGGGCACACAGCTAGTAAGTACCTGAGGCTAGATTTGAACTCAGGTATTCTTGACTCCAGGTCAGGAGTTCTATTCATTGCGCCCAAATCCTTAATAGATAATTTTTTCTATCACCATGTAACTGGTACATTCATTAAACCTGACTAATGCAAGGGGGAAAGGAATGGAAAGGTATGGGAGACTTGCGGAGGGAAGAGAAGGTATGGCATAGTTTCCATGGGACGTGAGATAGGGAATCAAAGAGGGAGGAATAAAAGGATTTCTTACTGCAATGAGGGCCCAGGTGAAGTTGGATAACATAAATTTATAATGTATCCATTAAACACAGTTGTGTGATTTATTCCAGCTCTATTTAGCATCAAGTGAGTAGGAGGGGGAAGGCAAGTGGTGGGAGAAATCTAGGTCCGAGGTTTGGTAAAATATTGAGCAGTGATAGGATACAAGCTTGTGGGATTTGAGAGTAGGGTACAGAATAGAATTTAAATGGCTTGTGATTAGAAAGGGAGCAGAGATAGTGACCTGAGAAAGTATGGAAGAGTAGAAGAACTAGAGATCACGATGAGGGTAAAGGATAGTTTTAGGAGGGCTGAGGCATAGGCAGAGATGGATTTACAGTAGGTTATGGTCAGATAGAAGAATATCAGAGTTTCTAATTAAGGCAGGGAATCCTTGTGGGCAATGGTGAGATCCAGTGTCTTCTCTATCATCTCTATGTGTGGCTGAGGTAGAGTGAAGCATTAGGTCATGGTTTTTAAGGAAGCTGAAGAGTTTGAAGGAATATCAGTGGGAATATTAAAGTCTTCTAGTATAAGGGCAAGAGGTGAGGAGGAAAGGAAGATGGTGTTAAACTTCTTGGGAAAGGAGGGAGAATGACTTGGGAAATGGTATAAAACAGCCATCATGATTTGGATTAAGTGGAAAATCTCAATTAAGTGAAGTTCAAAGGGAAGAGCTTAGGGAGTGAAGGGGTGAAGGGAGAGTTTGGACATGGCAGTGGGGAGTAAGGAATAGCATGACTCTTCATACGAGATTAGGGTGTCAGGCATGGTGAAAGAAGGTACAGCTAAGCCTAGAGAGGATAGCCAGGGAAGCAGTGTCATCAATCTTTTTATATTCTTTCCATTTATATTGTCAGTTCATATATCTATATCTATATATACACATACATATATATCGCCATATATATTATACACATATACACATACGTGTGTAAGTATGTGTACATATGTATGTGTACACATATCTATCTCTCTCACCTTTAAAGCACTAATCAATCAACACACATTTTCTGGTGTCTACGTTACAAATAATAGCAGCTGACACATAGCACCTACTATGTACCAAATTGTACTAAGTGCTTCACATTTATTATCTCACTTGACCTTCACAGCAGCCCTAAGAGGCAGGCACTACTATTATCCTCATTTTACAGATGAGGAAACTGAGGCAAATGGAAGTTGAGTGGCTTGCCCACGGTCACATAGCTAGCACATATCTGAAGCTGAATTTGGACTTAGGTTTTCCTGACTCCAGCACCCAGAGCTCTGTCCAGTGCACCACCTATGCCATATATAATATAGATGGTCTAAAACCTGTGAAATTCTTAGCATCTTTGCTTCTTTTTCCATCATTCTGCTACCATCACTGCAGAAGAGAAATAAGACTACACACAACTGAAAACCGTTTTGGTTTTCTTTGTTTCACGGATTGCCATGGTCAAGGACTTTCTAGCTACTGGCCAACCTGGCGGTGAGGAGCTTCTACATCTTCAGCAAGGTTAGTCATTTCATTAGCACATACAACATCACTGAGACCACATTGTCAGCATTTACAATCTAGAAAAACCTATCGGAGTCAGCCTAATGTTTCAGAAAGCTCCCAATGACCCATTGGAATGGGACCTCAGGTTTAATCTTCTTATTCAATCTCACCTGGACATCACTGCCAGACAAATAGCACATCATATGACTCCCCTATACAAAACCTGTTAGTGACTCCTCATTGTCTACATAAAATTTTAACTCTTCTGCCACACCTAAAGAAGTGAAATAATTTGACTTTAACCTTCCCAGGGTTTTCTACTAATCTCTGTCACTCACTCTCCCTTCTAGGTTCACTGTCCTGCAAACAAGCCACACTAAATGTTACTTCAGCGTTTTATAGGACTAAAGGTTTAGAACTGGAAGGGACCTCAGAAGTCTAGACTAACCCTTTTATTTTACAGATATGAGGGGAATGAGTCATGGAGAGGCTGATTTAACCAAGGTAGTAGTAACAGAGCTATGATTTGAACTCAGCTCCTCTAAGTCCAGGCTTCTTTCTTCAGGATACTTACTCTTGTCCTTTCTTTTCCTGGAGTCATTCAGCTTTTTTCTTATTCAAAGTTTATTCATCTTCTAATTTATGTTAATTTCTCTTTACTACCAGTGGTATGCAGGCTGTCTGAAAAAAAGTGTATGCAGAACACACTTTTAAATTTAATCTGAATTATTAATATTTTCTCCTTCACTTTCTTAATTCTACACTATCAACAAAACAGTGAATCAAGCCCTGGTTGGTAGTGCTTGCTAATTTGCAAATTGTAAATGCTCACACTGAAAATTAAACAAAGATGGCTCTCACAGTGGCTTAAGCCACTTCCAGCATACTTTTGCCCATATCCTGTTAAGAGGCATCTTGATGTAGTGGTTGGTGTAGAGAGCTGGGGTCAAGCCCCACCTGTGACACATACTAGCCCTTAGACCTCAGGCAAGTCACTGGAACAGAATTGTTACAGTTGCAGAGAAGGTCCTGACCTTATTGGTAGAGGTAGTTTCCTCAGCTGAAAATTCACTGTAAGAATGAAATCACAGAGCCAATCCCTATCCCTACACTCTATGCCTCCTTCACCTAGTTCTTCTTTCTCAGAACCTTTCTTAGTAGTAGTGTCTATCACTGAATTTAGCACTCAATTGAATTCCATCTTTCATTGTTCACTAATTGTTTAGTGAACCATCTATCATATAGACTGTAAGCCTACCTGAAGGCAGGGACTTTATTTATACAAAAAGGCAGCTAGATAGCACTCTGGATGGAGTTTTGGACTCGAGTCAGGAAAATCACTTAGACCTGAGTTCAAATCCAACTTCAGACACTAGCTGCATGACTTTAGGCAAGTCACTTAACCTCTCTCAGCCTCAATGTCCTCATCTGCAAAATGATAATAGAACCTACCTCAAAGGGTTTTTATGAGGATCATTAAACCAGAGGCTAGGTTTTGAGAAGGGGGAGCTAGTTGGGCAATCGATGGGACTGTGGGGGTAAGACTTGTGATTTTATTCTTAGAAGTCATCATCGAGCTCGGTATTGAAGAGGGTAGCAAGTGGTCAGTAAAGTGAATATTTTATTGACCGACCTGGCTTTCTGGGGATGAAGTTTTACTCTTCCAGATTTCCATGGGTGGTTTTGGATTAGAAATCATCCCGCTTTGTATGAGCCTTTCCTGATCCCCCTTAAGGCCAATGCCTTTCTCCTGTTGATTATCTCCAATTTATCCTGAATATATCTTGTTTGTCCCCTGCTGTTTGCATATTAGCACAGGGGCCTGCACACAGTGGGTGCTTAGTAAGTATTTACTTATTGATAGTTGATTTCTTCTCCATTAGACCATGAGCTCCGAGAGAGCAGGTACATCCTTTCGCTTTTTTTTTTCTGTCTCCATCACTCAGCACAAGAGCTGGTACAGAGTAGGGGATCAATGAATGCTTATTAACTTACTGATCAGAAAATTAAAAAAAAGATAATAGCATTACTGTACATTTGCATAGCGATTTGGTTTTCAAATTTTTTTTTTTATGTATACACATATGTATTCAGCTAAGTAGCGATGGATAGAGTGCTGGGCCTGCAGTGAGGAAGGCCTTAGTTTTAAAATGTAATTTGGCCCACGTTTTATTGCACCGTAATTTGTTTGGTTAAACACTTCAGGCGCAGGCCCCACTTAACACCTCCGAGGGGTAAGGGCTCTCCCACGCTCAAGGTCACGCTGATCACGTGCCTGCAGACATCCGCGCGAGAAGCGGACGGGGAGTGTTAACGGCGGGAGGGGGACGCGGATTATTAACTCCTTTCTTACCAGGGACCGCTGTCCAAACCCCAAGAGAGAGGTCACAGAGCGTGTGACCAGCGTGGAGGACTCCTATCTGGCGTAATTCAGAGAGGGCTGTACCAGCTCACGTGGACAGGGGAGACCAGCTTCTTTCTTCAGCACTCTACAGGAGCCACGACCACGACACGAGGCCGTTTACTTCAACTCATTCAGACGTTCCTTTATTTTTTTGTTCCCTAACATGACGGGACGGATACGTGCCCCGAACCTCAGACTACAGAAGTGCTATGCGTCGGTTCCCCCGTGCTATGCGGGGTTGGTAGCGGCGGGCAGCGGGAGGGGAGGGGCAAAGGGAGGGAAGGGGGCGGAACCGGAAGGGGCGGAAGCCGCCGACCTTGATGTTGTGATCACCGAATCTCCGGGCCGCTTTGCGCGTGGTTGCTGTTCGGTGCTCTGGGAAGCGGCGGCGGGCGCTGCCTTGGCTGCTGCTGGCGGTGGCGACCATGTTGTGCAGGGTGATGTGCAGGTGAGGGGGGATCCAGGGTCCGGGGTCGGCTCCTGCCGGCGCCCCTCTCACCGCGCCGGACTGCCAGGGACGGGGTCACCAATGGCCCAAGGGCACCCTCGGGCCCGGGGCCCAGGCAGGCAGGGAGCCCGACCCGAAAGTGGAGTCGGGTCCTGCAGTGGGTGTGGTGCTTTCCTTGCTGCCATCGCTGCCAGAGTGGGTAGCGGCCCTTTAACCCGCTTTCTGTGTTGTCTGCCATCGTTAGAATGTGAGCTTTTTGAGGGTAGGGACCGTCTGTTTATATTTGTGTCCTCGGGGTTTAGTACATTGCCTGACAATGAATGCTGCTGATTTAACGAAACATTGTGGCAAATATCTTACCTCCTCTCTTCCTCCCTTTTTCCTCCTCCTTTCTTCCTCCCCCCCTCCCTTCTTCCCTCCCCCTGACCTCCAGTCTGGAGGCCATCCGTTTTGCTGAATTAGAGTGGTGTTTGAAGATAACCTTCGCCTTTTGCTATTAGAGCTGTGTTGCTTGGCAGTAACCTTTTCCTTGTTCTAGATTTGCAGCCAGAAGAGAAGAAGAGATAAAAAAAGGACTTGTTACTGGTCCGACCGAACTTACTGGAAAATTTCCTCGTGCATTTTAAAAATAATAAATTTATGACTTTAAGACATGGTAAGTGAGACATGCTCCAGGGGCGGGGAACCTTCGGCCTTGAGGCCTTTTTATTAAGGGGATTTGTTCTGTGAAGTTTGGAGTCAGTCAAAGGGCCTCACTTGAGGAGCTAGAGGGCCACATGTAGTCTTGAGGCCGAAGGTTCCCCCTTCCTGCTAGAAGAATTCAATCGGTCAGCATTCATTTAGCACTTACTATGTGCCGGGCACTGTACTAAAATGAGAATACAAAAAAAAAGGCAAAAAAACCAGATTCCACTGTAAGAATAGCCAAGTTTGATCTTACTGCTTCTGAAACCAGTGTGAACAAGGAATAAACAATTAAATGTATAAAATTACTTGTCTTTCTCTAAGCTTAAGGGAAATTAGATATGTTGGTTATTTTCCAACCTCCTTTATAGCTGTGTGGACAAACACCACAGTTTAATGGAAAATTTTGCTTATGTAATGTAACTTTTTTAAAAAAAATATCTTTGCAGGAGACCCAGTAAGTTAGTACCAGCTTTGGGATGCTTGGGCTCCAGGCAAAAGCACGGTCTTCCTGACTTGCCTTATGATTATGGTGCATTGGAGCCTCACATCAGTGCACAGATCATGCAGTTGCATCACAGCAAACATCATGCCACTTATGTGAATAACTTGAATGCTGCAGAAGAGAAATACAAAGAGGCCTTGGAAAAGGGTATGTGAAGCCATAATTAATATTACATTAAGAAACTGACTAAATGGTAAATGTTAAAGTGAAAACATTTATTGACATATTAAAAATGCTCATATGTTCAGATAAATCACTATGATATTTTTTCCTTCAAGTGATTATACAATTGTGAAAACCTTTTTTCTAATGATATGGTCAATTCCAGAATAGGACTTTAGCTTGATATAAACCACTAAGCTGTTTTCTCAGTCCAGAAAAATTTAAGCTTGAGTTTCTGAAATCTATTCATATTAAGAATTGACTTAGGACCTGAGTTAAGCGTGGTTATTCTTTTTTTTTTTTTTGGGCAATGAGGGTTAAGTGACTTGCCTAGGGTCACACAGCTAGGAAGTGTCAAGTGTTTGGTGTGAGGCCAGATTTGAACTCAGGTCCCCCTGACTTCAGGGCTGGTGTGCTCTCCACTGCACCACCTCACTGCCTCCAAGCATGGTTATTCTTATGACATTTTGGCTAGATATTGCTGGTGTGTTTAACAATCATCTCATAATTTTTTGAAGTCTAATAAAGAACCACTTTGGTCTTTATTTATGTTGGTATTTAAGAATCACATCATCCTGTTGGAACTATTCCAGACAGCTCCAATCATGTGTAGAATGTTGAGGTGCTATTTTGTTTATCTAGCTAAGGTAGAGACAGATGTGTCCCTGTTCCTTGTACACAGTTTTACCTTGCTCATGTGGATTCCTCTCCAAAACAATCCTATTTCTGTTCTCTAAAGAGGCCTTTTTTCTGTTGAGTTTAGGTTTCTTAATCAGAAATCCATTTTTGAGCATACTAGACAGGATTCTTGTACTCCAGGGGAGTTTGTCTATAAGTACTGATTGCCCCAGTCATCTGAGAAGGTGGTTTTGGCAATTTCTAGTTCCTACCAAATACATTTGTAGGGAAGTTTTAAATGTGAGCATCAGCCTCCAGTGTTGGGAGAAGAGACCTTTTTAGTTCCTCTTTTTTGTGGGGAGAAGTGATGGCTAGCTGTCTTAAAGCATGTGATCATTACAGCCAGGATTAATTTGATACCTTCAGATTTTGTATTGCTGGGCTAACTTTACTAAAATAGAGATTAAAATTCATGTTGAAGATGTGTATTTTGTTGTATGTTGAAGTGAGCAAGCAAATTTATTTGACGTTAGTCACTAAAAAACTCTGGTCTTTAACTTAGACAAAAATTTATAATTTTTGAAAAATTATTCTTACTAGTTATTCTAACTTATGCTTTAGTAGTTTTCTGTTCGAAGTAGTAAAAAGTTCTTTTACCTCTGTGTTTATCAATGATTTGCATGTTATATTTAATGTCGGATTTTACTTAGATTGATAAGATACGTGGTTTAAAAATTAAGATATCCCATTTACGTAAGAATTTCATATTTGCCAATTTGTCTAGTTCTCATTTTTCTGAATTTGAATCCTGAACTTTTTTCCAGAGCTGAATTTTTATCTTATTAGCTGGTGGCACCTGCTGGCAAAATGTGGTATTGAAAACTAACTTTAATAGTGTAGATTCTCATTGGATTGATTACTTTTAAGAAATTGTGGAGAGGATTCTCAGTTGTGGGAGGAACTGATTTAGGGAAGAGCTGATGAAATGGTATAAGTGGAAGGGGATTCCACAATTGCAAATGTGCTGCAAAATTACTTCTCGTACTAGTGTATCTGGCTTTCATCTTAACCCTTTGCAGAGTTTTAAAAGTTCACCTGTTGAGATGTTCTCTGCGGGGAGAAAAAGTTTCAGTTTTTGAATTTAGTAAAGGAAATCACCGGGAAAATGAGCTGTGCTTTATAACCACGATTACTGGAATATAATTTTTTTAGTGTCAAAAATAACAGTCACTTAGTTTCTGGGCCTTAGTTTTCTCTGCTATAAAATGAGAAGGTTTGACTAGGTGATCTTTGAAGATCTTTCCAATTATAGATCTAGAATCTTTAAGTCACAGCCTCCCATGACCCATTGCTTTCTTCATCTGTGAGATGGGGGTTGGACTGGATAGCCTCTGAGATTTCTTCTAGCTCTCCATTTGTGATCCTATCCTCTCATGATCTTACATATTTTAGATAGAGGCATAATAATAGAAATTATGGTAGCATTGTTAAACACCTCTTATACTCATAAAACCCATCCCTATATAATAAAAATATGTAAGAAGCAGGATAGCTTCTTATATATTTTCGCGTTAATTGATGCCTTTTGTTTTTACATGTAACTGTTCCTTTAACAAAGATTTAAAAAAGAGGGGGAAATAGTTCAACAAAACTGTCACTGACCATGTCCCGTACAATATGCATTATTGTATTAATTCAGTATTCAGTATCTTAATCCTCCTCTGCAATCATGAGGGGGAGGTGCATTTTCTCTACTGTTTTCTAGGGCCAAGCTTAGTCATTATAATTATGCAACATTTAGTTGTTGTTTTTCTTTATGTTGTAGTCTTTTGAATGTTTTTTCTCTGGTTTTGCTTACTTTGCTTTGCATCAATTCACGTAAATCTTTTCATGTTTCTCTGAATTCTTCATATTCATTGTTTCTTACTTAACAGAGCTATAATGTGTCATTACAATTATGTACTACAATTTGTTTAGTCATTCTCTAGTGAATATCTACTTTATTTCCAGTTCTTTGCTGCCATGAATATTTTAGTGTATATAGGACCTTTCTATCTTTCATAGACTGCCTTTATTTATTTATTTATTTATTTTAGTGGCCGCTAGACTATTACTTTTATTCTACACATTGGCCCAGCTTAAAAAAATTTTCAAAATAATGAGCTATTTAGATACCACAGTGTAATTCCAACCTTAATCACAGAATGTTGACTGATGAAAAAAACAAATAAACAAAGACCATGATGCTCACTTTTATTTTGGCATAAGGTCTTTCATGTTTTTCTTAAACAATAAACTTGTTTGTCCCAGAATCATCAAGGAAATAAGGTGTTACACATAAAATAATTTTTAAGTACCAAAACTAGTTTTATTTTGATGGAAATTACATACTGCCCTATCCTTTTAAAGCAGAGTGAAACAACATAATTTGACCTATTTGAATTATAACTATCAATTGTTTTACTGTGCTGCATGTAATATAGTAATTCCTTCAGAGGCTATGGAGGGAGTTGTCCCTCCTTTATGGTGCATAGACACCTTTTAAAATGGCCTGTGATATCACTTTCAAGGGCTGTGATTTCATTGGTGTGTGAAACTCTTGGTGAGGAAGGTCCTTTGACAAATGCAGATCAACATCCTTGCAACTTAGCACTTTAGAATAAATGTTGCCTGGAGAAATGAGAGGTTTAAGTGACTGTACAACATCATATAGCCAATATATGTAACAGGTGGGACACGTATGATTTATATTTTTCAAAATTGAACTTAATGATTGAGAATATTGCATATGCTTTGGGAGAATTGGAATTTTTAAAAAA